AGTGATTGTCTTGAAAAGGTACTGAGGACTGAGTCATCCTATCATCCTAAATAAATACAGTGGCTATGTAAGGAGACCAATTTTGTGTACAATAGTGAAAAAGAAAGAAAGGAAGAGGAAATTGACTGCTACAGTTGGATATAGACATATGGCAAAAGTGTGGAAAAATGCAAAAGATACGCTAAGCAAGTCCCTACACTGGACCCATGTAGGTGCTAGAATATGAATTAAAGAAAAACACAAGTATGGGATCTTCCAGAACCACCTTGATTTCAGTTTCCTTGCTAAATACTAAGTCCTGGTCTCTGGAACAATTTGGACACTGTAATTATAATTCTTATTCATTATATTGTAGAGTTAGTCATGTTTATTTCTGCAATTTTTTCTCCAGCTTCCCTGTCATTTTTAATATCAGATAAATGTAATATTGAACTGCAGAAAACACTAAACACTTTATTTTTCAGTCTCAGCTCAATTTACTCTAAAGCCTATGCCCCTTTGCACCACTCCATGCTGTCAATCCCCCAACTGGCTGAGGGCACATTTCTCATTTTTTTCCAGCTCCTTCCTTACTTATTGGAAATTACACTGGAATTAAATATTTTTTAGAAATATAAACCAACATATTTAACCAGTATTGGTTAATTCCCACTCTCTCTCTCTAGATAGTGGGAAATACTAGTCTAAATCATGTATAAGGAAACTTTTTCAGTAGGCAATGCAGAATTGTATAGGTAAGTCATGCCACAGCCTCCTAATTCAGTGATAATGTCTTTCCAGGATGGTTATTAATCATTCAACCACCTGGAAGCAAGGGTAAATTGAATCTAGTAAACTTATAAACAAAGAGTATTTATTAAAAGACTTTGAGGAGCTCAGAAAATCAATAGCAAGGCTAGAGAATCAAGTAGGAACCAAGTGTTTCAGATCTAAGGCATAAGAACTAAAGGAAGAATCTTATAGAAAAAGATGGTCTTCTTAGAGCAGCACCACTGGAATAAAAAGTCTTCAACAGAGCCCAGGTTTTTTTTCTCTCAGCTAACGATTCAAACTCAGAGGAGGTCATTTGTCCAGTTCTTGAGGAAAGGACACCAGATTAACAGGCCCCAAACTCAATGGAGGAGAAGAAGGAGCTATAGGAAGTATGTAAATATTCTCTACTCTTGTTGAGTAGTAGTCCACTACTCTGGTGCTCAAGCTGAAATACCAGCAGCTAGTATGTGAGTTATAATAATAGAAGATCAATTCTGTCTGAAAAGCTTTCTCTTGGAATAATTTGAACAGCATTTGCTCATTCACATCTAGCAATAAGCTTCTGTCACTAAACCAGACACATTAACAAATCTCTGACAACACTAAGTGGCCTTAAGTCAGAAGTTAACAAAGAAACAAAAATAACAAAAACTAGTTCCTCCATGTTCATCCTCACCTGGCAAACAAACAAAACTAACAGCCAACATATATACTGTCTAGTTTTCTGCATTGTGACTTACATCTTTCGTATGTATTATCTCATTTAATTCTCACAAAATCTGGGATGTAGGTATTATTACTACCCTGAGGGAGATTACATAACTTGGCTAGTCTCACCACTGTCAGGTAATCACACGGGGCCTGCATTCTTATTTCTGCACTAGGCTGCCTGAACCCAACGGGACTGATATGGTTTGGCTGTGTCCCCACCCAAATGTCATCTTGAATTGTAGTTCCCACAATCCCCATGTGTTGTGGGAGGGAGCCGGTGGGACGTAATCAAATCATAAGGGAGGTTACCCTCATGCTGTTCTCATAATAGTGAGTGAGTTCTCACAAGATCTGATGGTTTTATAAGGGGCTTTTCCACCTTTTGCTCAGCACTTCTCCTTGCTGCTGCCATATGAAGAAGGACATGTTTACTTCCTCTCCCACCATGATTGTAAGTTTCCTGTGGCCCTCTCAGCTATGCTGAACTGTGAGACAATTAAACCTCTTTCTCTTATAAATTAATTACCCATTATCAGATATGTCTTTATTAGCAGCATGAGAAAAGACTAATACAGGGACTCAGCCACATGGATGGAGTTTTAGAGGAGGCAGAACAGTATAGTGGATAGAACCATGGGCATGAGTTAAAAATTGCAGGCTGGCCATTTACTAGCTGTGTGACTCCAGGCAAGAAACTTCAACCCCCCACAAGCCTCAATTTCCTCATTTGTGAGATGGAGAGAGTCCTACCAGAGTCAGCATGTCATGTTGCAAGATTGCACTGTTGTGGCAAGGAAGAAAGGGGAAATGTCTATAAAGTACCTAGCCTTGAGTGCTGATCACAAATTAAGTGCTGAACAATCGATGGCCATTATTACATGTCTGTCTCTCCTTATAGACTAGTCTTAGAGACCCAGGTAATCTTCTTGTTATTTGAATCCCTAGTACCTTTCTGTGATTGGTACATTAACAAGCCCATATAAAATCTTCTGAATATAAAGTGTTTATATCAGGGTTCACACTGCCACATTATAATCTACGGTTATAATAAGCACCTCTTTAACACTACAGCTCTAGGTCATCCCTGCTCCTTAAGCAAATGATGCCTTATCCATCCCCCTCCTCCACCGGCCTCAGACTGCTAACTTCATGAGGTCAGGGTCTACATCTTGTGATCTCCATGTATCCCCAATGCCTACAGAGCCCAATGCATAGTAGGGGCTTATCACTTGTGGACTGAATTTTTAATAGACATTTGTAATATGTTTTACTAACACTTTCACATAAACATGGGCAGTATCTCTGCAGCACAGGTTAAAGACATAGGGTCTGGAGCCAGACTACCTGAGCTCAGACTTTAGTTCCACCATTTGCTAGCTGAGCAGCCTAAGGAAATATACACAGACTTGCAATGCCTCTGTTTTCTCACCTGTAAAATGAGATTAATAACAATACTGAGGTGGTGTGAGTGTTAAATTGTTAATTCATATAAACCTCATAAAAGAGTACCTAGCACAAAATGAGTGTTCTTTAAATGTCAGCAATTATTAATTTTCGTAGCTATTTTTCTCTCATTTAGCTGTAAAGAATATATTCTGTCTGCCTAAATCATTTCTCTTTTCATGTAAGAAAATATAAAAGGTACCATATTTACTTCAAAATCCTAAAATTAATGTGCAGCAGAGAGCAAATCATATTCTCAAGAAAATTACTTCCAAAGCTATTTGCAAAAAGAAATGTATTTATAGGAACTATTCTTAAAATAAAAATCCTCAATGGCCCTAGATATTCTGTACTTTGTCTCTTCGAAATCATTTGTGTTGGAACCTTCCCCAGAAGCATTTGTCATTATTCTTTCCACAAATAAGAACAGTCATATTAACTTGAACGTAAGTGTTTATGTGAGTAAACACACACACACACACACACACATACACACACACACACACCCCAGGCAAATTAATCTCGCATATGGGCTGTACCCTGTCTGCACCAAAAACCTCATTGCCTTATTAAGGCAAAAACCATGCCAATTCCAGTATGCAGCTCCCCATCTCCTAGAGTATGAACCTAGAGATCAAGCCACACATTCCTTAAGGCATCACATGACCCAACTTCAAACGATACTACAAGGCTACAGTAATCAAAACAGCATGGTATTGGTATAAAAACAGATATATAGACCAATGGAATAAAATAGAGAGCCCAGAAATAACGCTGCACACCTACAACCATATAATCATCAATAAAGTCAACAACAACAAGCAATAGAGAAAAGACTTCCTATTCAATAAGTGGTGCTGGAACAACTAGCTAGTCATGTGCAGAAGATTGAAATTGGAAGCTAACCTAGGAAATACCATTCTGGACATAGGACCTAACAAAGATTTCATGACAAAGACACCAAAAACAATTGCAACAAAAACAAAAATTGACAGTGGGACCTAATTAAAGAACTTCTGCACAGCAAAAGAAACTATCAAGACAGCAAAAAAACAACCTACAGAATGGGAGAAGGTACTTGCAAACCATGCATCCAACGAAGGTCTAACATTCAGAATTTATAAGGAACTTAAATTAACAAGCAAAAAATAAATAACCCCATTAGAAAGTAGGCAAAGGACATGAACAGACACTTTTCAGCAGAAGACACACACGCAGCCAACAAGCATATAAAAAGGTGTTCAACATCACTAATCCTTAGAGAAATGCAAATTAAAACCACAATGAGATACCATCTCACAGTCAGAATAGCTAAAAGTCAGAAAATAACACATACTGGCAAGGTTGTGGAGAAAAGTGAATGTTTATACAATGTTTCTAAGAATGTAAATTCATTCAACCACGTGGAAGGCAGTGTGACAATTTCTCAAAGAACTTAAAACAGAATTATCATTTGACCCTGGCAATCCCATTAGTGGGTATATACCCAAAGGAATATAATTCCTTCTACCATAAAGACACATGGACATGTCTGTTTGTCACAGCACTATTCACAATAGCAAAGCATGGAACCAACCTACATGTTCATCAACAGTGAACTGGATAAAGAAAATGTGGTACATATACACCACAGAATACTACACAGCCATAAAAAATAATAAGATCATGTCCTTTGCAGCAACATGGATGGAGCTGGAGGGCATTATCCTAAGCAAACTAATGTAGAAACAGAAAACCAAATACCATATGTTCTCACTTGTAAGTGGGAACTAAACAATGAGACCACATAGACACAAAGAGAGGAACAGCAGATACCAGGGCCTACTTGAGGATGGAGGGTGGGAGGAGACAGAGGGTCAAAAAACTACCTACTGCATACTATGCTTATTACTTGGGTGATGAAATAATCTGTACTGCAGCCCCCTGTGACACGCAGTTTACCTATATAACAAACCTGCACATGTAACCCTGAATCTAAAGTAGAGGTTAAAAAATCCAAACCATCATATTTAATCCTTGACATTTCTCTACACATTGGAGAGATGAGGAGGAGAAAAGCAAAGGCAGAGGGGACTTCTGAATGTTTCATCTACCTTCAATACTGTAATGTTCCAAGCAAAGCTCTCGGTTGCTTTGTTGAGTTTTCTTCCCTTCAAGCCTTCTTTTGCCCCCAAATTATGAAGTTCTTCATGGAACTCCATCCCTTTGAAGAAAGAATGCATAAGACATCTGAGTATATATCTCAGAAAAAAGGGCATCTTATAATGAAAATATTATCAGTAAAATATAATTTCACATTCCTGTCTTCTCATAATTTCCAAATCCCTAAATTGAATCATCCTTTTCATTCTGTTCATCCCACCAAGTAGTGTCCTTATGCACAAATTGACAATAGTCAATGCATTGGACTAAATTGCATTTAAAACAGCCAGGAGCCATAGAAAATGTCATGAGAAGTAAAAAAGTAAATTCCATGGGTCCAAAAAAATAGGAAGAATGAATAAGACCTAGTATTTAATAATACAATAGGATGACTATAATCAATAATAATTTAATTGTACTTTTAAAAGTAACTAAAACATTATAATTGGAATGTTTGTAACACAAAAGAGAAATGCTTGAGGGGATGGATACCTCATTTTTCATGATATAATTGTTACACATTACATGCTTGTATCAGAACACCTCATGTACCCTAAAAATATATACACCTCTGTACCCACAAAAATTAAAAATTAAAACAAAATTTATTAAGTAAATAAGAAGCAAATTCTTCCAACAGGTTACATCGACCTTGTTTGTCCTCTTCCTGGTTTATGCATGAAATGATCTGATGTGTCCATGGCAACCATATGTGAGGAATGCATATGTCTTATTTTTCTTTATGAACCATCCCTGTGGCTTAATAGTAGGCCCTGGAGCCCACATAGATAACAATAAGTAATTAGCAATGTTGACTAAAAATAAAAAGACTTTTTTAAAAATACCATTCTGGGAAACACTCAAGTGTTTCAGATTTGGGAATGACCTTAAAGTGTTTTTAGCTCAACCATCTACTTGAGCTTGAAGATTATGAAAACCATCACCATCATGTTTCTTCAGCCTTTGTCTTACCACCTTAAAGATGGAAGTCACATTCTCTTATGAAGAGCTCATTCCATCTTCGGAAAGCTATGACTGATATCGAGTCATAGCTTCCCTGGAACTTCTTCTCCTTCCCTGGAACTTCTACTCCTTGGTGCTAGCAGGATGCAGACCAAAAAGCTCTAAACTCTTTTCTACAGTGCAAGCTTTTGGATATTTGAAGAAAGATATTGGGTAAAATCCCTTCAAGTCTTCTCTAGGTTAACCATTCGAATATATTCAGCTTACCAATGAAACTCTTCTTTAAGGATGGCATCCAAGCAAGGCCACTGCATTGCCCAGTTTCCTGGAGCTAGCTCTGTGGGAACCTGCCTCCAGGAGTGAACACTATACTCAAAAGCTTGGAGAAGCCCACACGAGGTCAGGGATCTACCACCATTCTCTTTGTTCTAGTTTTTATATTTTTAATAATGCAGCCTAAGACCACGTTAACTTTCCTGGTGCTAACATCACAAACATAGTGCACAGTAAAGAACATGAGTGTGGAGTCCAGCTCTACCACTTACTAGCTATGTGAGCCTAGGGAAGACCCTGACATCTCTGGGCTTCAATTTCCTCACTGGTGACTTGTGGTTAACAAGTGGGTTTACCTCATGGGATTGAGGTAAAGTTTAAGTGAGTCAATACATATAAAGATCTCAGAGCAGTGCCTGGCATCATGTAAGTATCAGGTATTATTATTTTTGTGCTTCCTGTCAACAGAAACATCTAAGCCTACTGGTCAGTCAGTGAAAAACACCATTTTAAAAGTTTGGTCTGAATTCAAAGGGCAGCTCCACCACTTGTTGATATGGGACCTAGGGTAAGTCACTCAGTCTCTCAGAATTTCAGGTGCCTCATCTATAAATCTGACATAATGATGATTACTTTGCAGAGCTGTCATAAGTAAAACAGTATGTGCTTGGTATAGCATATGCATATGTATCAAGCAGTTGCTACTGTTGTCATCTTCCTCGTCATAATCATTATCATCATTATCATGTGTGTGGATAGAGAAGGCTGTGGATCCAGAAGATGAAAGCACAAGGGTGTGGATGAAGGTGAACAGAAATAAACAAGTGCACTCTCACAGATATGTGACTCATCTCAAAAAGAAAGAACAAATCTAAATCTAAAGTGAAGACTAGTAATGGGGCACAAGTCTAGAAGACTAATAGGATTTTGGTTCCAATTGTAAAATTGAAGTGGGTTTTAAGGGACTATATGGAACCATAGCTTCAATACCAGCAGTAGAAGATTTTGATGGGGTTCCAAACAACAAAACTAGATTCAGAAACCCTCATCCCTCTAGACGTCTTCAGATACCACCCCAACCCTGTATACTCACATACGACCCACCTATTATCACTTGGATTTCGTCTGTACTAAACAAAGACTAAAGTGTAACTTAAAGTATAGTTAAGCAATGTTATAAAATAATTGAATTTTAAGAGAAGCAGCAGAAAGTTTTTGAAAAAAAATCTACCAAGAATTATTATAGTTTCTAAACAAAGGAGAAAAAAAAAACAGAAAAAAAAAAATAAAAACAGTTACCTGCTTTCTGACACTGTACAATCTTTTCCTGGACTGTGTCCGCCATTTCTATGAGAAACCGGCTCTCTTGAATCATCTGTCACAAAACAAACATCAAAAAGGTGGTTGTCAGAATCCTTGAACTGGCTCATTGGGAAGATGACATACAGAAAGACCCATGTGATACCTCCAGTAACAGGAAGCCATAGTCTCACCACAACAGATGGGATGGGAAGGATGAGCTCTGTTCCAACCCCCATTCATCCTAACACTGAGGCTAGTGTCACCTTCCTTATGATTGCTCCTTTGTGTAACACGCTTGGCACACAGTGGGCACCAAATAAGTAGCTGTCGAATAAATGTACATACATTCCTTATGTCCCAGGTCATAATCATAAATACCTAATTCCACTCCCTTAACACCAAAGATTACTGCAATATCAAGGCAAGTGGTATTGGAACATAATAGCAATGAGAACAAGAATAGGGTTGTTTATCCTTCCAGAGGCAGCAAAGTCACCCTTAAAAATATTATCTGCTCCATTTTATCCTCCCTGTCTCTCCCCCACCCCACTCCCACCAAAAAATGAAGTATCTCCTATCTTCTCCAAATTCTCTCAAAGCTCCCTGTGTAGCACTCAAAGGTGGGTTTGAAGTCAGCTACCAGCAGGCTCTGGTCCTTCCCATCTCACTCCTTCCTAAATGCCACTTCCAGAATCATCATCCAAAAGTACAGTACTAACTAATTCTCGGCTTTGTCATTTTCTCCCTTGCTTACTGAATGAAGTAAAATTTTTCTAACCTAGAGCTATGGTGTTCCAGTTCCCCTAAGTCTCATATGACATGGATGAATCACGCTTCTCTAAACGCACCCTACTTGTTCCTCCTCCCACACATTTTTCTGTTAGGGAAGCCTTCTTAAGCCATCTCCCCTGATCAAAATCCTGACAGGCCTCAAAGCTCACTTCAGTGCCTTCTTCTCTACTTGTTTCCTGATTTCCGCTTCTGTCTCCTTCTCGCTCCCCATATTCCCAAAACATTCTATTTTTTAAATCTGTTCATGGAATTTTTTATTTTCTATCTTATAATTTATTCTTTAGCTATATTCTTCCGTCTTATTGCTTCTCCAGTAAATTGTAATTCCAGTAGAGCAGGGACTCAATCTTATTCAGCTTTGTACTCCCAGATGCATCCATCCATTTACATAATCACTTTGTTCCCCTGTTTTACTTTTGTGATACTTATTTCTTTTCCCTCTCTACTACCCACATATGTGTGTGCAATAAAACATTTTATTTATTACTGACCACTTCTTAAACTTGTGATTATCTTTTTGAACTCCCATCTCTCTTTTTGTCTCTAGATTTCTCCACTCTTTTTCTTTCTAGGCTTCCTCATTTTTCTGTAATTTTGTATGCTCTTAATTCTCTTTCAAATTAAGTACTGAAAAATAAGCATAAAGCTTTTAACAGGATTACCCCTGTAGAAATATAATACTCAAATATCAGAAAGTAAAACAAATGTTAAAACTTTATTACATGCTTATTTGAGGTAAAATAAATTTAGGATCAAAACATACTCCAAAACCTTATAGTTCAAGTTCTTCTCAAAAGCCCCCAAGTAAATATTTGTTAACCCGGTGGTATAAGTTGTTTCTGTTTTTCTCATTGTCTAATAAACCTCATAAAGAGATAATCAAGCATAATTTTACCTCAAAACAAGCTTCTCTTTGAGATTCCTCAGAAATAACCTGAAATCTTTTAGTAATAAAAGTCCCAAATTGTGCCCTCACATATTTCATCATTAATACTCTCAGAACATAAAATCATTGCTCATGTGAAATTGTTTCATAAGGGCATTTGATTTTCTCTATGTCAACAGCTTCTATTGTATTGAGAATAATAAATTTATTCTATTTTCTGCAGTCAGCTTTCAATTATTAGTAGCTATAGAAAAAACAAACGAGATGAATAGTTAAAATGCACCAATAATCCAAATCACAATTTAAGTCAAAAATTTCAAATTTTCTTCTCAACTAAGTAATTTATCTAAGCTGCAGGGAGAAAAAATGGTCAATTTGAGTTTCATCTCCTTCCTAGATCTCTAACTGATACTGATGTAAATAAAACACAAAGCGCAAAAGCCAAGCAGAGAAGGTAAGAAGATGTCCTCAGATAATCCCTGAGCCTGGAAGTCAGCACGACTCAGCCATGACGGCTGGGTTGACTCAGTCGATAGAATCTGGCAGTGGCCTGATTTACATATCTGATGTCTCAGCCTGAGCTGCTAGTTGCCTTTGCCTGTTGTAGTAATACAAAGAGCTTTTCTCTGGTTCTGTCACATGAATCTCTCCTAATGGATCTTATTTCCTTGTCAGGGCTTTGTCTCTAAAAGAATAGAGGACTTACCCAGATAAAGGTTGACATTACTTTATGCATTAGATGTATCCAGAGCAGGGCTGTGTAAAGTTACCAGTTAAGAGTAAAATTATGTCTTTTAAAAGAAAACTTTACTGAAGGGGGCAGTGATACTGTTACTCAAAGATGGATTAAATTGTTCTGCTTTTGTGAAGAAAGTATCCTTCCAGCTCTTTCCAGTAAGAAGTTTAACTAATTGCCCAGAATCATTGCAGAGTCAATGTAATTATTTAATAATACTGAAAAGATGAACTTTCATCATATCAGGACTCAAAAATCTTGCACAGATTCCCATTTTATCCTGAATTAGATCTAAATTCCTAGAACCAAATCTTTCTACTTAGAAGTCATCTTACAGACAGCCTATCATGGACAACCACATTTTATAGATTAAAAAAAACTGAGCTAAAAGTTAGCTTGCTTAAAACCACACAAATAGCTAGTGAAATAATTTAGACTAGAATCTAGGCATTCTTGAGGAGCAGATCATATTAAAGTGTAGAATTCCTATTGCAAGTGTAAGTTGGTGATAAATACTTAATAAAGTAACATTCATCAAATTAAGCATCATGAAAATAAAGTTTGCCATGACTGCTTTTCCCTCCAAGTCTAATTCACAACACATATCAACCATGATAAATATTTTTTCATATGAAACATAGGAAGAAATGTATTTCCTTGAGTCCTCTGCTTTTTCAGGAAGGAGTTAGGAACTTTGGAGAAGCTATTGCTCGAGAAAATGTGAGTCAATAAAAAGCTACACTACTCTAGACTTTTTTCGTCCTCTCCTTTTCAGAACACTGGAATAATTCCTCTAGCTCTTACTTCCTTCTAAGCAAAAAAAAAAACAAACAAAACAAAACTGGGTTTTGATTCTATGGTTCTGCAGTGGCTCATCTTTTCAGATCACTTAAAACAAGATGAGTTTTATTAAACTTGGTACATTTGTAAATCAGATTGCTCTTACATATATAGTTGCTAACTAGAATGAAGATTATTTCCTTTAATTCTTGAGTTCCTTAAATATTTAAAATGAAGCAAATAAAAGCATTGCTAATAGGTTGGCATCTTGTTTTTAAGCAATCAAGCCTGTCAATGTGATCACCTCTCAGTTATACAGAAACAAGTGTAAAGTCACAATATCTGCACGTTCACTGGAAGTCCACTGCCTTTGGTGTATGCAGCAGAGCTCTCCATCCTGGGACTAATGCATCACATTTGCAAGCCTGATTTGTAATGGCGCAGGACAAGTGAACTCACACACACAACAGGTCAGAGGATGTTTGTCTTCCCATTCACAATGGTGACAAAATCTACTTCAGGGAGCCCTTTCGGCATAAACAGATCATTTTTTTTCTCTTGTTGTTTTGTTCCCCAAACAGTTGTCAGCTATACCTTGAGTAGTCATTAGAAATATTTGTTTTTATCCAGCTGTCATTACAATTTAGCTCCTTCATAAAACTTCCAGGTGAGTAGCCTTGGTAAACCTTCTCCAGCATTTTCAGGTCAATTTGACTACCTTACTACCTTTAACCAAAAGTGTTACAAAGCCTGAGGATTCAAGAATGCAAAGCGAACTTTGAGTATGCATGGACAAAATTCCGCAAAATAGCCAACCTGAAATACTTGCTTATGGATATGTATCTCTGATACTCATGGTCCTAGAGATCCCGGTACCAAGTGGAAATTTTGTCACTCCTCAAAATGCTGATAATTTTCCCCTTACACAGAAAACGTGTCCAAAGACATTGCTGTACCCATATGTGAAGGAAGGTTCCATGCCCCAAGTGCACAGCATGTTGTTTTTAAACACCAAGCCCTGGTTGGGCACACACCAGCAGACAGTTCTTTTTTTAGGTTCTATTACTATACAAGCAAAGATACTTCTTGAAATGCAAACTAATAGAGTTCCACACAAACTTCACAATGAGAGACAGTGATGGAAGGAGAGTGTCTTTGACTTAACCCAATCTTAATTTAAATGGATTTCAAAAAGCAAAACTAAATTAGGGAACTATAGATACAACTACAACTCTTTCCCATCCTGAGGCTGAATATATACTGGTTCTAACACTGATATAAGAGAATGTGTTTAATCCAACCATTACAACTGGCTTAACTGTAATACTTACTAGTGTATTTGTTCCATTGCAAGCAGGATTAGACAGCAATTAGCTCTTTTTTGCTGGATTCCTGCTCACTCTAGCACAATCAACCACTCTCCAAATCACCCCCCAACTGACTTAGTAAAAGATTAAATAACCCTTGACTTATGTTCTCTAGATTGTTTTGATTTCCTTTTTTTAAACAACAAATTAAAAAAAATGTGTTTTTACCATAGTAAAGTTTTAACTTTTATGTTAATGTTAAATAAGTTAGCACAGAAGTCACCTTTGGAGAATGCTTTGGGCTTCTTTCTTACAGCTGTAACCTTCTGTATCTATTCCACTTCAGAATGATATATTTAAGATATTACCCAAATATTTTCATAATAACTTAAAATACTGGAAATGATCAAACGTATTAGGAAAATACTTCTTGACTGCATGAAAAATTAGAAAAGTGAGAACACTGAAAAGGAATAGCTCAGCCATCTAAAGAAAAAAGTATATAAAATCAGATATTTTTCTTTCAAATGTACTTGCAAATAAAATTCTGCTGAGTACCAGGTGGCAGAGGG